AGGATGATTTGGAGATGTGCCAAGAAGATGAGTTTTACAAAGGATGAAACTTCGGTCCATCACTTTGATCCAGAGACCAAAGCAAGGAAATGCAGTGGAAGCATTTTGACTCACCACCTCCAAAGAAGGCAAGGGTGCTGGCAAGGTCATGCATTACGCTTCATTTTTGATGAAATTAAGAGAAGCTATCAAAATCAATGGGCGGAGCAAGATCAGCAAATGTTTCCTCATCCTGCAGGACAATGCTCCAGTCCAAAACTTGCATGTCGCCAGATCAGAAGCACAGGCGTGTGGCTATGAAATTATTCTCCACTATCCTTACTCTTCTGACCTTGCACTCTCTGACTTGCATCTCTTCTAAGCCAAGCAGTTGTTTTTGAAAGGAAAGCGTTTCCCAGATGATGCAGCCTTGACTACTGAAGTTACGACATGGTTGGAGGACCAGCCTGGGGTGTTCTACAAAAACAGTGTCCAGAGCTGTATCAAACAATGGGAGAAATACATAACTCTGGGTGGTTCCTATGTATAGAAAGACTAGTACTAACGTTAGTACCTTCCACAATTAAATTATAATAATCGCTTTACATACTGTCGACGGTCTTCTCTAAATTTCTTTGGATGCGTTTTCTTTCGTCCATGTCATAGTCGACTGCAAGACTGATTCATAACCGACTGCATGAAGAGTGAGAATTTCAAGTTCAACCAAAATAAATTTGTGGACGATCGTAAATGAAATGCGTGTATGATTGAATTGTTACTTGTACCCCAGACTATTATCGAAGCTTGTATTGAATGCAAGAGACTGGTTATATTTGCTATGGGTGGTTACTATTATGCAAATTATCTGTCTATTATGTCTTTGGCTGATTAATTAAAACAAAGCTTGCAAAACAATGACATGTGTTTTTAATTTACAAAAATATATTTTTACTTCCTATAAAATTATCCAATTCACTTTTTTATCTACTGAGTAGATTTTAGCTCCTTGTAGTCCAGCATTGAAAAGTACAAAAAAGTAGAATTTGGGGTTCCAAAGCAAAACAAAACACGTATACAGCATATTTTACTTGCTCGTATATTACGCACGTGTGCATATTAGATAAATTTATTCTGCCGTAGTTAATTACTATATTTTGCATGGATATATCACTCTGACAATGAGTTATTATTGAGGTATGGTTTATTAAATACAAGCAAAGCAAATAAGACAAAAATGAAATAACAGATTAAAACATATTTGACAACAAATGCAATAGACACGCTTGTTAGGATATTAAGTCCAACGTTCAGAATCCGAAATTGGACAAATAATAACTGAATTTGAATCTTATGTGTACGACTTATTATACGCTAACTATCCTCAATGTATTACATTATTTCCATGGCAATGAACGAGAAAACCATTAATCATTACCTTGAATACATTATATTGAATCTTGAATACATATATTAAGAATGCTAATCTGGTAACTATAAAATTGTCAGCATGGTAGTCATTTATTTAGCACTCTATTTTTACCTTTTGTTTTTCGAAAAAAAAAGTATGAATCATACCTTCAAAAAAGCAGATGTAGATAAACATACCAATAAGTAATTGAGTTTTTAATTCATGTCACAGCAGTACAATAACGAATGAACTGCCATATTAGATAAACACAGCGTGACATGATTTGACGTTCACCCGCACTTATAGACTATTTATGAATATTCTTATTAGAAAACACCAAAAGGCTTCAGCTATATATTTTCTGCGTTATTATTATTTTGTATTAGAATACTGCATTTCACAGTCAAACTGTATGCTGGTGTCAACCAGGCCTAGTGGTACTCCCCTAAAGTAGCACATGTTTGTGAAATATTTTCAGTCAATGTCACAGTGTAAGGCCTGCTGATCGCTAATGAGAGGGCACACACATAACCCACACTGGAGGGTTCTTTCACTGCTAGTATGGAGTAGACAAGACAATATTACTTGAAATGAAATACACATATACCAAACTATCGAGTTACAATGAATAAAGTCACTAAAATAAAATACTTTTGCTTGGGAAACGGCCGTCGTGTCAAATAGAAAAATTATGAAAACGTCATTTTGTCAAACTATCAATCAAGTTCTTTATTCACTCAATTATAACATCATCTAACAGAATATACATACCTGGTTTGTTAGACAACAGTCGATAAGAGGTTGTAATATGTACGTCTATATTGTGCAGGAAACCAATTGAGTGATACGATTCGCAGGTGGATGGTCGACTAGCAACTTCAGAGATCACGATAATGAAAATAATATAATATCGTGGTACTGCATAACTACGTATATTAAGGGATATATAACTGGTGACATCAGGATAAGAGATTATCATTTTTATTCACGATTTTAGACCGCCTATTGCATCGTTGATATACTATATTTGTGCTAATGCAACAGCTACATGAGATTATGACTTAAGCAGCAAAATAAATGTGTAGTTACAGAAACGCAATGTTTTGTCACGAGATGTAACGTCATATTAGACATCAGTCTATTATTTAACCAATCGTACTGATGATGAAAATCATCGGCAAACATTTCCCAAAGTCATGGTCACAATTGTAATCACTGTATCCATCATACATAATTTATTATATTTAATGAAGAACACTTCTGATATTTCCTAATCGTTAATAACCGTCACAGCAATCTTTCAATAACCATATATTGTTGATATTGACTTCATGCCATTTTAACAAATAGCAACAAATAGCAATAACGATTTGTGCATAAATATATCATATGTTTTATGTATATTCGTACAGCTATTCCCTCAACCCATTTTGATTAACATCAGAGGAAGTTATAGGTTTCGACTGATTTGTCGAATCACCGTATCCATCTTTGTAGTTAATACCACATTATAGAACATCTTGAATAATTATGACGTAACGATGGAATATGCGCATACATTAGCATAAATTGAATACGACGCCACAATGCATAAATTAAATATGTTTTAAATCGAACAGTAACGAGGTCGTCGTGAATAAATTAACACAAATTATTTTTTAATCGTGCGAGCAATGACCTCACACCCCGAATACATTTTCTGAATCAATGGTAGAGGGCGCTCACTTACACGCACGCACACCCATCCATCCACACTGCAAACAAGTTTGCAAACTGGTAAAGTTTATTACATAGTAGAAAAATAAACATAGATGAAATATTTACATGGAGTATACATTTAAAGCGTGATTGACTATTTTAACACCACAGACATAATACGATATGAATAAGGAAAATAGTTGCATAGTGTGTATATGTATAGCGTGGTTAAATATTTATTAACGCCAAGAAAAATACGAGTACATAAACAATTCGATTAAAACAAAGAAAAAAAGAAATGTCAATAATAATAAACAGTGATAAATAAAAAAAATGGCTGTCTGCGGGCATTTTGTTTTAATGAATGGGCTTCTAGACCCATATCTCCGACTTGTTTTGACTGATTATATTCAAATTTTAAATATTCATTATACATCATGTAATAGATAAACAGATATATTGGTTTGACGATCCTATTCAAAATGCCCGAATGATGGTCATTTTTGTGCTAAAAAATCATCATATATAAATAATTTCTTGCACTTGTGGATGGATTTCGTTCAAACTTGGTATATACATTAGACGGGTTCTTGATGCACGTCATTTTATTTTTCAGATTAGATTCAAAAGGGCTGACTGACGGCCGTTTTGCTTTAATGATTGGGGTTCTAGAGCCAATTCGATTAAAACAAAAGAAAAAAAAAATGTCAATAATAATAAACAGTGATAAATACAAAAAAAAATCATTCCACATATAAATATTTTGTTAATTTATGTGTATAATTCTTACTTCCTTCCATTGAGTAAAACAGTCTGTACACTTTTTTTATGAATAAAATCACTAAAATAGGGGATTACTTAGGGAAGTGTGCATTGTTGATACAGGCTAAAACCATCAGTCTGTGGGACATGTATGAACTGTTTTTCGATTGCTTGCTGCAAGCGCTGCCCTTCAGAATACCAGCGTTCCTCTACAAGCATGACTCCTGCATTTCTTAGTTATTGTTTTGCAGAAGCCATTGACTGTCGTCCATTAATACATCCTGGAACTGTGAGTTATCACCAATGCACACTTCCCTTAGCAATCCCCTATTTTAGTGACTTTATTCATAAAAAAGTGTATTATTCTGTGCTTTATTTCTTGTAATGTTTTGAGAGGTATTAAAAAGCCAGGAGCTTTAAATCGATATTTAGGTGTGCGTGTATTTCATTTTCAGAACTATCGTCTCGTCTACCCCATACTAGCAATGCAAGAACCCCCCGTCCAATATAAGTTCTGCGGGTGGCTTTCTCAATTGCAATAAGCAGGCCATATACTGTGACAGACCGCATAGGATTATTTTTAATTCGCTTGTCATATATGTTCCAATGTGGAATTTACGTCAACGTAAATGATATACAACAGATGTTGGTGTATTCGTTATTTATGTTATCTAGAATGTGAACGCTCGCAAACAGGGATATCTAATATGGGTTCGAGTTGAAAGCGCTACTAATAAACGTGAATTTCGACCTACGTTTATGGGATCGCGCATTGAAAATAACAACACCGGGAAATGAAGCGAACACACGGTATCTTATTTATGACGATTAGTTATATGCTATCCCTGTCGTGGCAATGTGAATTACTAAAGAAAAAAAAAGGGGGGGGGTAGTGTTTAAGGCGACAGATTCATTTTTTAAATAAATAATTGGATGGCATCAATTTACAATGACTACACGGTAAGTAAACTTTAAAAATAAACTTACAAACACTTGCAGTACTTTGCCGCATATTGTCTCTAATTTATTTTCAGTTAAAACACATTTTCAATGTTAATTTTGTTTCTGATTTTACAAAACAAAACATGATTACAAAACATGTTTACCAATTAGTAACAAACAAATTTAGAACATGTTTCTTTTGTGTTATCGTAATGAGAAATCTTTCTCCAGAAATCATCAAATAAAATCTAAAATCTTTGTGCTTTTAACAATATCAGAACAAATGTTCGAAATTTTACTCAAATTTGTTGGTACAATTCTATGCAAGATTTTGAACTTAAAAATTCTCATTGTTTCGTCACCTGTTACCTTAATAAGGTAACTACCGAATCGACTATTTTCTTGCTATGTTCCGTCCATAAATCAATTTTAGTTTTATGAATCATATTTAGTTTCCGAGTTTTGGGGGTTCAAATTTTCTTTTTGCCAGTATTTTATAGAAAACTTTTGTTCTACCCTTTCCATAATTAATTCTATTATAAACATTTTGTTTAGTTAAATGCACATAGTCGTTAGATTTCTAAATTTGTTTTCAATTTGATGGAAATAATACATGTACATGTTATATGATGTATAAGGGCCTCCTCGATCATAGTTACCAATTAGTCACAAACCATTGAATAACAAAGACCTAGCCTCATTAATAACATTACTCGGAGTTGAGATCGTAGTCATAGAATACACCAGATTCGATGCACCACCAAAAACCTTAACTAAAATAACCTTTCCTTTGAGAGTTAAATTACGTTAGTTCCAGACTAACATAATCTTATCAGAACAATTTTGTTT